TTGGAAAGTAACACTAGGTGACAAAGAACTGAAACTAAAGCTTAGTCGAACAAGATGAGGACATTATGGTTGGGAGTATTTGGTAATATGGTTGGCAGAAAATTTGTTCATAGAATTGTTATGTTTTTATGGCTTATAGTTGTAATTGTGATTCAAGAAGGTGCCTCTGTGATAATAGAGAATGGTGGGTGGCCTTGAACTAAAGCCGTAACAACAGAGGATAAGAACTTTAATGGAAAGTTAACAGTTATGGTCATCTGGTGAACAAATGGTAACTATTTACATAAACCATCAGAAGGGCGAAAATTAGGAGAAGAGAGGACACAAGATAATGTATCCTTAGCTCTTAGTTGTATGCAAGCACAGTTATGGTTGCAGGCAACGGCTGCCTTGATCATTAGGGAAGGAAGTGAAGGCATTTTTTCCAGCTGAAGTCCAAAAGGCAATTTGGGACAATGCCAATGATTTTGAGAAGTTCCAGTCCTTGTGGACCCTGGTAAATTGTACTTATGCCCATTGTTAACATGGCTACTGCCTTTGTGCTTACTATACAGATGGAGAATGGGAAATGGCAGTCTGTAAATCTAGAATCATGTGTTACCGGGGAACAACAAGGATTTATTTGTGAAAGCAATACAATTGAGGCTCAGGATGTATGTTTTGACACGGAGCAAGGTATCTGTCACTTTGAAATTCATCCAAATACTAGTCAAAAGAATGTGCTTGTATATGTTGGTCAAGGGTGTGTGTGTTTAAGAACTGCTTGTGATTTTGTAGAAGTAGATAAGGAGAACATAACTCTCCATAGCAAACATCATTCTAATTTCTGTATTTGTAACTTTGTTAGAATCGTCGGGTGTGATATTCTATATTTGGCACCAGTGGTATCCCACCAGCTGATCAAGTCTAACAACACAATGTATCATAAGTTACTACCTACACCTATTGGGATGAACCTCACACTAGTGAAGCAACTAGTTAAAAAAAAAAAAAAAAAAAAAACACAAGTCACAGCTGGTGGGATACACTTTTTGGATGGTCGCCAACTGCAACTGGGATTTTGAACACATTGAGTCACCCAATTATTGTTTTATTGATATTAGTTGGTATAAGTTTAATATTGTCTTTTGTATTACTTGTTTGGAATTGGAAATTGTTACAACGAATGTCCATGTTAGCCTCCTTGACAAATGTGCATGGCAAGGTGTTGAGGGGTACATATCATAAAGACTGGGAAGAAAATTTCCGTATTAAGTAAAAGAATTTACTAGATTTTCCAGAAAAGGGGGTAATGATATAGTATAAACTCACTTTAGGATAGAATAAAACTTGTGGAATGATATTGTATAAACTCACTTTAGGATAGAATAGAACTTGTGGTTAAAAGTTAGCAAGGGCAAAGTAAATGACATCTGGTTATCTGTAGACCTTCTGTTATGTTTAAGCATTTTATTATTTGAAAACATCCCGTTATCCGTTAACCCTCAGTCAGGCTGAGACTTGAGGTAACTTAAGACCACTGCCCACATTTTGAAGACCCCGGCCCACAATTCTTGGAAGGCTTTGCACAAGCGCAAGGACTGATAAGCTAATTAGCATACGAAGCGAGAGTAGGCGGGGTTAGGTAATGAATATGTATAGGTGCTAATAGAATATTTATTGTTTCACTGTATAAATACGAGATAGTTTGTCATTTCGAACATGCACGATAGGCGGAAGGATCCCCCATGCATCCAGCACTGCAATGAAGAATATACCACTTAAAGAAATTTCGGCTATGATCTTTAAATCAATTACATAATAGGTATTGCTGTGCATCCTTGACATTCTGAAAAGGCATGTATAACCAGTAAAACTGCTATGTGTTGCTCAAAATGTTAAGGCAAAATGTATAATTCTGACTGTAAGTTCACATTTACTTTGAAATACATCAGAAGTGGCAGCAAGTGAAGCTGTTCTGTGAACACCTACAAAAACCCTTGATTTGATCCTGTGCGATCAGGTTATAATTATCATTATGCATGCAATGGAATAAAAGCAGCAGATAGCTGATATGTTGTTGTTTATTTGCATGCATATACCTCTTGCAGTGCTTTTGTGACTCATGACCTTGTGGTAGGATAAGTTCCCATTGGACCATCCCTTTCCTTTTTGTAAACGGTTGTTCATCCAGATTTTGTTTTAGAAAATTGACTTTTTTTAAAGGTCCTGTATCAATGTGGCATGTTGATTTCAGATTACAATTTTCAAGTGGAGGTACCTTATCTGCCAGCTCTGCAAACTTGTTCTGGTTACTTGCAGTCAAGGTTGTGCAAGCTTCAATTGCCCAGCTACATCAGACAGAATGCAGGTACCAGTTGCAGAAATTGCTTCACATTGCTTGCAGGGTTTGGATACTAATGAACGGTTCTGCTAATGATACATGAGACAAAGGAGCCATGTAAATGGGTAAGATTAACTGCATGCACTGCAGAAGTTTATGATAGAAAAGTACAACTTTTATAGAAACACTTCTCTGACAACATTTCCGTTTCTGTCTTGTTAGTTTTATTAAGAACAACAAATTTTCCATTTTAAATTATGCCATACAGAGAATGAACAGGAGTAGGAAGAACCCTACAAAGGGAAAGGACAGGGGAAAGGCAGAGCAGGGATACAGGTATTCCCTAGCTGTTGGGGTTTTGTACACATGATGTGAGTCAATACCAACAGGGGCCTTAATTCTCTTGAATCCCTCCACTGCTGGTAATTCCATGCCTGAAGTTTATGGGCAACAGCATGTTAAGAAAACATTTCCTTTTGAAGAAGAGAAAAATCTACTGTGTTTTACTCAGAGCCACATTAAAAGGAGAGCTTGTTTCATCATGACATTACTGGTCGCTAAGAGCATTATGCTTGGGATATGCTAAATCATTTGTTTTCTGTGTGTCATGGCTCCAGAGCACGGGAAATAATATTAAGACGGGTATTACAGTCTTAACATATGAGGTAGGTTTCTGATTACTACCTGAAGTGGCCCAATTTCTACTAGCCTAAAGCATCAATTCATGGTCTGAAAATACTTAGGAAAAACAGGATCACAGCTTATTTTTCTCACAGGTTTGTAATACATGTAGCTTTGTTGCTGGCATTTCATTAGATCAATGTATTTTGGGAGAAGCTTTCATGCCTTATGTAGGCTGTGCCATATGGGATGCCAGCTACTCTGATTTTAGAAAATGCACCAAAGTCTTGCATGTCAAAAGACTCTGTATATAGTTGTAAACGGTATAACAGACACATCTATCTTGTTTACCTGTGCTCAGAAATTCAATATAACATTTCCCAAAATATTTCTGTACTGTTGGAGAAGTATAATGCCCATTTGAAACATTAATGATGTTTTCAAATATGCCTACTGTTTACATCACAACCAGTTAGAGAAGTATCCCTGTATGTCAGCCATACTTTTCTCCAAACAGGATAATCTGTTTTGTACCTAGTATTATTATTAACGCTGTAGGCAGCAAACCTTGCAGATGGGGCAGAGAACAGGAATAGGACTGATGTTCTGATCCTTACTCGGATGGTGTTTTATGCAACCTCGGGAAAATGACTTAAGCTGTTAGGCCTACTGGCTTCTTATATTGTGAAATCAGAACCACTTTCTACTGTTTTCTCATTTTTTGGTGGGAAAAAAAAAAAAAAGCTATGTCTCTTTATTTAGATCATTGGTAGCTCTTCATCACAGCATGTTCTGAAATTATTAATGCTCTTGTAGAAAAATTCAACTGCATCTTTCAAACTTTAAAATAAAGTGGGCCCTGATTATGATAAGGGAAGAAATAAGGGAATCTTGATGATATTTTTTCTTTCTCTCTAGTTTCTATCATAATTAATAACACTTATGGTGATCCTCAGCCTGCGTTAATGGTCAGTATCACTGAGCTTTATAAACTGTGTGGGGGGGGGAGGGGTGGGAAAAAAACACACCAAAAACACCAAAGTCAAATAACCTTTTTAACAGTCCTTCTCAAACAGTAATGCTTTCCTACAGAAATTTGCAGAGAGCAGAGAATTACTTTAGACTAGTTAGTATTTACACTGCATTACAAGCCTTTGAGTTTTTTCACCTAGATGATATCTCTTCGTAGCTCATTAAGCTCTGGAACCAAAATGAAACATGCCAAAGGAGTGTCTATAAAGAACACACACTTCTTGCTGTGGTGGTATGGTGCACTTAGTGCTGTGCAGTTAGTTATCTTGAATGATAACAAATTTGTCAGCAAGAGGAAAACATTTTTGTGGAGATAATGGAGTGTCATGTGTTTTTTTTTTTGTTTTGTTTTGTTTTTAGCATGAACTCATGTCACCCTTCTTTTTGTAGATTATTGTCTGTTGATGAATTTTAAAGAAGCCCTTAAGGATTTGGCACAGAATAAAAGCATTGTGCTAGTTTCTCAAGTCAAAATATCCCTTAACCTTACTGCATACCCAACCCTGGTTTGCATTGCTTGTTTTTCCTCTCAGCTGGACTGAAGAAGGAACTTGCATAAAGAAGAGTGAACTTGTATCATTCTGTCAGTCACTTTTTTCTGACATTCTGATTTAATATATGATTCTCTCCACAGTATGAGAAACACTCCATAGCCAATAACTTAGGCTCAGGCGAGGATCTCAGTGGAGTAGTAATTTATTCGCGATTGCAATGGCGGGCGCCCCACAAGCAGGAGAGAGTGCATCTACTAGTTCCAAAACACAGTTTATATACCTTTTGATGGCAGGACCCTCCCCTGTTTCCCCACTGAGTGGGTAATCCAGGTTCACAATCTATCTGATGCTTCACAAACAATGCATGGCCTTCAGTAGCTGGCCTGTCAAATTTCAATTTCCTTTTGCCATTTTTACTGTTTGAAGTGGTAATGTTTCTTCACTTATCTGACTTGACTTAACACCGTGATTTTCACCTAATTGTCCTAAGGAGTCTGGTTGTCTGCATTTTACAAGGTCACCTGCTTAAGCTTTCTTATCACTGTAAGCATATCTCAGTACCACATTCCTTCCCTCTAAACAATGTAACTCTGCAAAAACAACATTTCTATTCCTACAACAGGTAACTAATATTTTGTAGTAATTGTTATAAGTTACGTGTGGCTTAAATGGTTGTCCAGCATTATAGTATCCCATGCTGACTGATTTTCAGAAGTAATTGCTTTGTCCTAGTGGAATTAGACATAACTAGGATGAGTAGGATGCAGGTTTGATGTAGCCGCTAGTTTCAGTCAAGCAGTGCTCTAGCTTTCTTGTAAATGTGACAACGTTCTGCCTCTTCTCCATGTAACATGTTTAATAAGTACATAATCTGTATCAAGAGCAGTTATTTGAAAATCAATATTTAATTTATATTATTAAATTTTAAGCGTTTTTTTAATCTGTTTTAACTCCTCATATAGCAAAGGCTTGCCCTTCAATATATAATCCTGCAAGTACCTAAGGCCTGCCTAATTTGCTTTTCCACAGCCGGTAACTTTACACTAATTACACTTCATTTTTGTCAGGAAAACCTAGTGTAAGAGGTATTCACTAGCCATTTAACAGCCATATGAACTGTAGTTTTGGCAGTGGTATCAACACATTTTCATGTTTTTAGCATATATTAAATCCTTGATAGCTAGCTGCCTTTGATACTTCTGTCATAGGGTATTACGTGATAGAGAGAGGGGTAAGAACACCTAGAGCAAGGGGGATGAGTGGAATTGCTGCTTTGGGCAGGTACCTCTCCCTGTATGTTCTAGCACTATTACAAAAGACTTAGGGTTTTTATTGCAGACAATCCAGTAACCAAACAGCCCAGTAACACTACTTCTACTTATTCAAGCATCTTCCTTTCAAATTTTCTTTTCAATTTTCTTTCAAATTCTACTTTTCAAGCGTCCTACTCCATATCCCTCTGAGTTCTTACAATGCCCTGGCTCAAGGAGAACCCCATCCCCCCCTCCCCTCCTGAGCTCACACAGCTGAAGCTGCTAATTACAGCTGATTATCAATACAAAGCAGGTGGGAAGCCACAGGAACTTCAGTCTCGTGTCTTTTCTATGCAGTGGCTGATCTCTGGTGTTACAGATCTCTAGTAATACAGATATTTATTGGATTTCACAGAGCTCTTATGTTTTAGGTGAGGCCTGATGTTTTCTGCTTTTTTAATTTATTTAGTTGGTAAAGAATGCAGATAGAAAAGGCTTGAAATGGTAGGATTTTTACTTTTCCTAAATATGAGTTGATAACTAGATACTTTTGGTATCTTAAGTAAATATATTCAACTTTTCAGGGTTGTTTAACATTCAAAGTTCTTTCTGCCTGCCCTTGAAAAGATATGAAGGTATCATAGGGGAGCTGAGGAGGAATTCTAGAGCTACCAGTAATGCTTGTGTTAGTCTATCTCATTTCGCTATATTAAAGTAGCCTTCTTACTGCTATAGATTATGTAGCTTATGTACAAGCACAGACATGCTGTTGTTAACTGTTAATGAATCAATAAGGCTCTTCAGGTCCATCTATACTAGATATTGTTATATATGGAGTAGTAATTAATGTCAAGAAAATAGTTGATATTAATAAAGAAGGGGGAGATTTGGGAATGTGGCCGTGGGGGTTGGAAAGCCCCGTGGTTGAGATAACATTAGACTCTTAACGACGAGTCCATCAGGAATACAGAAGAGTTTAGAGGGAACAAAGAAGGGTGACTCAGGAGACTCCATGCAGTCTCCAGTTTCTTGTTCTCCAGATGGTTTCTTGTTCTCCAGCCGTTAAGGCATGGATGTTTCTGGGTGTTTGCTGCTGTTGTTATATGCGAAGTTGTTTGACCAATGAAAAGTTGTTTTGAAAAGAACTGCTGTGGAGAGAAGGGTATTAGAGGGGAGCCTGCCCTCAAGATAAAAAAGGAAGGCAACACGATGTGATGAAGTTATGAAAGAAGCAGGAAAAAGGAGTGAAGAGGAACAGGCTAGCAGAACGGAGACCAGGACGGGAACAGGCACTTTGATTGCCTCATGAAGATAGGTTCGGCCAAACTCAGCAAACTGCTCGGAGAGGCTCGTGCTGAAAGTCACTGGAAGCAGGCGCGCTGGAGCTCAAGCTGAGAGAAGCAGACCTGTGCACACAACTGCCACTCGCTGGTCAGCAGCTGCGCGTTATGGGGAATCATACGTCCTTAGGAACAAAGACTGTCCTGGTAACCTTACAGCTTATTCTCATTATTAACAATCGGACAGTTTATGATCCTGAAATATGGGACTGAGCTGATGTCAAGGTGTGGGACTCTGCAACTAAAAGCGACAAGGTTGCGGTGGGATTGCTCGGCACCTGGCGAGCAGTCTCTGAGGCCTTAAAGAGACATGTGGAGCCACAATCACAAATGTGTGGCTTGCCAGACTATGAGGGAGCTGCGGGCTCCTTTGCTGATCTGACTGCTATGCTATCGGCCCCTCTGCTGCTACAGCCATCGCAGGCTTTTGCTGTTACGCCCCCTGTTGACCTGAACGTGCCTTTTGACCCAGGCTTCATTGGCCTTGAGAAGGAGATGGATGTGCTTTTCTTCGATCTGGGAAGAACGGGATACATAAGGCCTGAAGACCGAGTTGCTTGACAACTTAAAGCCAGACATATTGTTAAAAAGGAATGGAAAATAGAGACTGTTAAGTCATGGAACTTAAAGGATTGTTTGTTACCTTTTCTGATTGTATGTATGTATAGGCATACTCGGATTCAGTATGTAAAGCAATGTTCTGTATATTTAGAATGTTTGATGTTCATATGTGCGTGTTGGTGGAGCATAGACTCCCCGCACACCCAGTACTGTTTACTTGCCTTTTATACCTTTTAGAAATATTTGTTTTATAAATATTACAAAATTCAGATTGAGTTGAGACCTCATTTATAACAATACTCTTAAGAATTATTACTCATGCTGTGTTAAAATCTATAATGGACTGGAAAAACAAATAGTTCATGGGACTTAATTCATAGCATGGAAACCTAGTAGCTGATGTCTAACAGAGCTGTGATTGTTCAGGTGGATTTCCCAATAATTTCTGGGCTCTAATGACTTCAAAACAAGCTTTAGCACTACTATTTCCTGCACAGCAGCTTTTAAAAAGCACAATGTGTTAATATGTGTTAACCAGCTTGCTTCAGAGTTCTGCAGGATTTCATTAATGTGTAAATGAAGTATTAATCTCTGGAGAAGTTACCTGCTTAGATTGTTACACCTCTTCAGTTTCCTACATGTGCTAGGGTTCTTGATGTTTCTATTTGCAGTGGTTGCTAGAATCTGGGGACCTCTTTGTGTTGGTGTTGCAGCTTTGTTTTGTAACCAATAGCCTTACTGCTAGATTTTGGAAGTAGCACGGCTTTCTGAAGGGCTGACCTCTCCTTGTAGTACATCCATATAAAGCTCTCTACTCACTTTTTCAGACCCTTTGGATTTAGAGACCTATTTACAACTTGGAAGGTGTGAATTGCATGCTTGCTTAATCTTGTTCAAATATAGTGCAGGCGTTATGATGGTGGGAAAAATGCACTGATAGGCTTGTGACTCAAGTCTAGGTTTTGTGATTTATAACTGGTATCTGTATTACTTCTTGAGCTATGTTTACGTCCTGAGGTTTGTTTCAAGCATGATAAAATTTACCATTGGTCAAGTCTTGTATCAAACCTTATTGGAAGAATTTTGGGAGGAAAATCTCTCACAAAGGAGAAGTTTACTGAAATACCAATACTATACTAATTCTCTTAGAACATGACAATTATTGCTTTGACATCATATAGATGTTGAGTATGTTCACAAAGGATTAACATCCCTTCCTCCTTCTCCCTTCTTGTAGGGGAGGAGCAAACAAAGTTACCATTAGCTATTGAGGAGCAAGAATAAAGTGGAAATCTGCCCTTCATCTTGCAGCAGTGGCTGGTAGCAGGGAGTGGGGAGGAAAAAAAAGGTAGTGGTGCTGGGTTGGGCTGGCTGCTACTTCCCAGGAAAGCAGAGTTGTGAATTCAACAGGGGACACTCAATACTACCTTTATGCACTCCTCCCATATCACTTGAAACTGGAGAGGTCTGGAACATATTTCAAATGGGGTTTAAAAACAAAACAAAACCTGAAAACCATTTTACTTGAAAAACTTTCTGTAATGAATTGTGTTGTGTTGTTAACCCTGTTATTATTTTGTTTGAAGGGGCAATAAAGCCATAAGATTTCCCCTGTATGCACTTCTTATTGAACAGGATTTAATGTGAAATTCAGTTTGTTTTACCCTTTAATAGCCTGAGTGATTTAAAAAAAAAAAAAAAAAAAAAAAAAAAACTCTTACAGAGGCACCACCATCTTTGATGCTTTGTTGGGAAGCCAAATCCCTCCAGGTGGCTTAGACAGATGCTAGCACCTTGACTACGCCCTAGTTTGTATACTGTTTTAATAGTTACTAATTACCTATTCAATGTCATTACCATGTTTCTGTTTTGGCACAAAATTACAGAGCAAGTTACAACAGTCACACAGATAACTAGGTATTCTGCCAACAGCGGAATATAAGAATTGTTAGGGTGCTTGCAAGGTATGTTGAGAAGCTAGTATGTGTACTTAGCGCTTAGAATTTATGTTTATTTACGACTTTCTGCAGTCTTTCTGATTTTGTTATTTGACTGGTACTGACAGCCTGTAGAGCTACTACTTGTTAAATGCTAGAGAGCTGTTTTGGAGAAACAGCATATTTCTTAAGAGTTTGAGATCAGTCAGCAGACCAAGTTAAATCTCCATGGACATTCTTTAGAAATGTGTGGGCTGTTGTTGTTGTTTGTTTGTTTGTTTTTGAAGTTGTAGTGCTAATACTATTATTCCAATATAAATTTATTAAGGCAAAAAGCCCGCAGTGACTTATTGTTAAAAGCTTCCGTGTAGTAATTTAAGTCTCCCTTTACTGTAAAGGAAATATTCTGTATCAAGAAAGAATACTATTTCTTTTCTCATCCTTGCTGACTTTCTCTGTAAATGATACCTATTTCATAGCAGGAGTTTTAAACCCTGTTAATTCCCTTACTTACATCCCTTTTCTGGAAAGTGTTTCCTACTGAATGTCCTGTAGAGGGAGATGGCTTCAGCAGGGCTAATTATTTTGGGCAGAGTACTGTGTTAATGCAGATGTAGTTTTAGCGCTATCTTCTTTGACACTGCTTTGCAGGTAGGTATATACTGTGCTGCACAGGACAACCACGTATGAAATGCATTTGAAGTTGAATAGGATTTCTGCTCTTTGTAATTGTCTACAGTGGGAAGATTTCCTGGCATAACTAAGATGATTAGTGGTGTGATTTGTTCTGGGAGCACTGCTGTGCTGATAACAGAGTGGTATGTATTTATAATACTTGATAGTGGAAACACCAAGAGCATTTTGGCTGGCTCAGTTAAACAGAGGAAAAAAAAATATAGTGAGGAATCAACCAACCCCCCCTCTAGTAAGATCTTATCTATAGTGGAACACTTAATTTTTACATTTAAATTGCTGTTTAGTTTTCAGAGTTCACTTCCACATGAAAGGCACAATTAATAATTACCAAAGCTATTGTCTGGACTGTCTTTGCAGAAATCCCTGTGCTTGAATTTATCACATCACAGCCAACTCACATTTTGAAATGTAGCTTTTTGTGTCCATGTAATCTATTGACTCTTTAACTCCAACATTCTTTTTGGTTTACAAATAATTCCTGGGAGAATAAGAGAAGTGCTCAGTGAATGGATTAAAGAATTGAGCACATCACCTACAGAAGACAGTGTAGGTTCTGGATCACAGGACACGAACAGAGGTCTTTTCCTTTACAGCTGTCAGTGTTGATCAATGGGTTTCAGTCAATTCTGAGGCTGGAGGGAGGAAACTTTCCCATATGAAGACTTCTGTTATCCATTGTGTTGTTCATTTTTATAAAGTTGTTGCTCCTTATTTTTCTTTAGTGCTTTGTCTGAATTTTCAATAGTGAAAAGCTTGCAAAAATGGGATGGATATTTTGCATTACTGTTGCTGTCAGTATCTGAAGGTATGTTTACACTGCAGTCTTTCAATTTGAGATAGAGCCAGTCAGAAGCTATTCTCACAAATGCATTGCTTTTCATTTTCCCCAATCAGTTTTGGACCTGTTTAATGAAGCTACCTTGACAGCTGTAGCAGTGCATTACCTTTGCAAGCAAGTGCAGGCCATGCAGCTCTGGGAGGGGGTGAGTAGAGAACTTCAGTTGAATATTGTATTGCAAAATGTGTGGGAGACACAAGGGTGACTTAAACTGGCTTCTCTACCAGGAAGGAGACGTGGAGCTGCACCTTTCAGAATTAATTGCCAGGGTAGTTTAATCCTGTGCCTTAATCATCACATTGCAGCCACTTGTTTAAATTATTGTATCATCAGTTGTGATCCTGTGTTTATCACTGGTACTTCTGGAAATGCAGCTCTTTTTTTTGTACAGGAGGGAAAAAAATCAAAGCTCCTTCATGGTTCTTTCACAGTGAATTGTGGGGCAAATTTGTCTCCTTGTGAATTTGTTGGGGAAATTATATGGGAGGTTAAGTAACAACAATGTTTAGCCTTAAGCTTACAGTCATTTTAAATATGAAAGAAAGATTTTTATTTTATTTTAATTTTTTGGGTGAGAAAGAGCAGCAGTCAAATAGGAGGAGCCTAGTGTAACTCTGTAGTGAAAGGCTGTCCTCAGGGTGTCAGTGCTTCCAGGAACATGGGGGATTCTGCTCTACTGGGCTTATTTTCGGATGGTGTCTTCTGATTTATGGACTGACATTCAGTGTAGTGCTGAATCAGAATTGCTAAAGTATTCTGAAATGGGAATATGTGAAATCCTACTTGCAGACCAAATAAGAGTACTGACAGTCCAAACAAATAAAGTTCTCTTTTTTTCTGACTTCTCTTAGAATAAAATTGTCTGCTTGAATTTTAACATGAAATCTTTTATATTTTTATAGTTCAAGCAGTGTCAATTTCTTAACTAAGTTAAAGCCATGCAGACTTTGTAACAATGTTCCATGGCTTTAGTGGAAGTAGGAAGCAAGAAAATACTTGAATCTGGTACATTTGTTTTCCGGTTAAAGAAGCTGGCAAACGATGTTACAGATCTTTTGGAAGAATTGTGGTTTTACAGACAATGAAAGCGGGACTTAGAGCAACACAGTATCTAGATAATATTGCTGAGAACATAATTATGATTGGTATTCTGTTGCATAACTGATAGGTAATATGAAAACCTCAAATAAATTATAATTGTAGGGTGGTACAACAAATAGCCCTGAAGTTTGACATTTGCAAGATCAAAAAAGCTATCTGAGTTATAAGGCTTTCTGGTGATGTAAATATATGTGCATAGGTAATGGTCTTTAAAGAATAATCACAAGTGACTTCATACTAAGGCATCTGGGATTTCTTTATTAAATAAAATCTGCTGGCTTTGTTTTATATCTATATTGAAGCTAAGTATTTTGGTTTAAAATGTTCCTTGCCAATAATATTGATTCATAAGCTATTATTTGCAGTCTTTTCCTTGTACATTTGGTTTTTATTTTGATAGTTGGAAGTTAGAAGTTCTCTCAAGTGAAACAATTCTCATTTAAAGTTGTTATACCTAGTAAGTACTTCTTAAGCAAAAAGTTGATATGCTTTCTGATATTTGTTTAAACAACATAATAGATTCTAGGACTTTTTTTTTTTTTTTTTTTTTTTTTTTTACGAAGGCACGTGACAGCTCAGAAGGCCACAGGGCTCTGAGGGAACTGTGGTCTTCTGTATTGTTAGTGGCTGTTGGTCAAAAAATGACTATTTGTGCCTGCAAAGCTTCTGAAATACTCTGATAGAAGCATTATTATTATCTTTAATCTATTTGCTACCCTAGATTTCAAGTGTAGTTTTTAGATAATAAAATTAATCTGCCTTTTAGTTCATGGTGGAAGATGTGAGTGGCATACAAATACAAATTAGGTGTATTATTTATTAAAAAATGAATGCAGAAACATCTATACTGAATCTTGGTATTGAAAGCAGATCATTTAATCCTTGTTGAACATGGACTGGCTAATTTGAGAGAGTTTCTGCTGAGAAATTTTATGCTGCCTGGTGGAGAAGGACCTGGGAGTATTGGTTGATAGTTGGCTGAATATGAGCCAGCAGTGTGCTCAGATAGCCAAGAAGGCCAACAGCATCCTGGCTTGTATAAGAAGCAGTGTGGCCAGCAGGGCTAGGGAAGTGATTGTCCCCCTGTACTTGGCTCTGGTGAGGCCGCACCTCGAGTACTGTGTTCAGTTTTGGGCCCCTCACTACAAGGACATGGAGGTGCTCGAAGAGAGTCCAGAGAAGGGCAACCAAGCTGGTGAGGGGTCTGGAGAACAAGCCTTACGAGGAGCAGCTGAGGGAGCTGGGGTTGTTCAGCCTGGAGAAGAGGAGGCTCAAGGGTGACCTTATCGCACCCTACAGGTACCTTAAAGGAGGCTGTAGTGAGGTGGGGGTTGGTCTGTTCTCCCACGTGCCTGGTTACAGGATGAAGGGGAATGGGCTAAAGTTGCACCAGGGGAGGTTTAGATTAGATACTAGGAAGAACTTCTTCACAGAAAGGGTTGTGAGGCATTGGAATGGTCTTCCCAGGGAAGTGGTGGAGTCACCATCCCTGGAGGTCTTTAAAAGACGTTTAGATGTAGAGCTTAGGGATATGGTTTAGTGGAGGGCTGGTTAGTGTTAGGTCAGAGGTTGGACTCAATGATCTTGAGGTATCTTCCAATGTAGAAATCCTGTGATTCTGTAGGTGAGTCATTAAAGATTGCAATCTCTCTTTCATTAGCTACTGCTAATGCATTATTTTCTTGAATGTGAAGCATATTAGGGCGTGACTCTATTATAGACAGTAGATTTTAGTATAAGGATACAAATACCAGAAATTTCTTCTCTTGCAAACTTATTTTGTCCAAGCAAACTCTATCTGCTAGCATATTGAAGTGTCTCCAGGTAGTGGTTTTGTGAAACAATTAGTGACACGTCTGCTTCCTTACCTTTTTTTATTCACTTCATGTTGTAAAATAGATATGTGTCCAAGATACGAAAAACTGGGCCAAACTGCCAAAGGTGTGATAGCATGCTGAGGTAGGCAGATAAAATACTGTTCTCCAGCGAAGCAAAGGAAGGTGAACTAACAATGAAATTTCTTCAGTTTTTGGCCAACCTCGAAAAATGCACAAGGTTATAAATGGAAGAAAATGCTTAGAAATTGTTCTTATGGATATTGTTTATTTATTTTTAAGGGAGTGTTATATCATTTACATGGTGATGTAAGTGCTGCTACTCCTTTGTAGAAGCCTCTCCTAATATAGTTAAGAGAGTTGGACATCCCACTGTATGTTTTAAGGTTTATAACTAGGATAGTTTTTGAAAGAAGGTAGTGACTACAGGAAGCAGAGTCCTGCTCCTGATCTTGGTTTGATTCTTTTGTTGGTCATATTTTGGCCAGCTGGCTTGTAGCTATTGAGCACACACAAGGTGTTAACAGCAGTAGTGATCAAGTAACAATGCAGTTCCTCCGCAACTGTTTATGCCAGTTGCACAACTTGCTGACACCTCTGCTACCCTCTAGGTAGTATTTTTTTCAAAAGGGCTTGAGAAAAGTATGGTGTGTTCTGTATTGAACAAGAAGTTGGCTTCCATTGGATGTTGTTGAGACTTCTGTTACTCAGGAGGGACTTGAGTGTGACTGAAGAGAACCACAGTATCTTTTTCTTTCTTACTTCATCTGGGGGCTTTAATGCTGCTTTTTTGATTCAATTACTTGTACCAATTAGAAGCCAGAGATGGGAGAAGTCATAATCTCTATTAAAACACTGGGCAATGCTCAGGGACATCCTAGCAGGCAACGATCTTTACAGTCTTCTTGAGATTGGCATTTATTTTGTGTTAGTTAGACTTCTTTCCTTCTAATAATTCTTGGTTCGCATATATACAGACCTCAGTTTACAGCAGCTCTGGTGCGATGTGTCCCCCTTAATGACTGTAAGCAAACACCTACTTGTTGCTGAGCAATACACGTGCAAAGCATGCAACCACAACGTAGGCTGCTATGTGGTAGGGAAAACTTACAGCCGATGATGTGTGTTTTAGTAGGGGAGGGGTTAGTTCATGACAGGAATACCTTTTTAAATTAAAGGAATAAATAAAGGTAACAGATAGGTTGTAACAGCTGGCCAAGAGCACTCAAAGACTTACAAGCTCTTAGAGCAATTAATCCAGATCAAGAGAGGATTAACTTTGAAGTTTAAAATATCCTCCCTGCCTGAGGAGGGACCAGTTTAAAGTGCTTATGAATGGGGTAGATAGTTGATTTGTAAGAGTGGCAGTTAATTTATGGATATGAAAGCTGCTTTTTTGACATTGCAATCTCGACTTTTAGATCTTGATCTTTTGTAGAAGATCAGTAGCCTTGATCAGTATGAAGTGAAAAATATCATGGATCATCTTAGATTAATACAGACCCTAAGAAATATAAATTACTTGGCTTGCTATATCTGTTACCAGGGCCAGGAGTTCTAGGAAACCTGATTAGCAAAAATTGGAAAACTCTTTAAGTAGAACAACAGCAAATCTGGAAAAACTTAATTTCTTTTTTATGGTTTTATTCTATCTTGAAAAATAATTTTTTTTTTAAGGAACTTTTTGGGGAGGGGTTATGTCAAAAGTTGCTCTTCTGCTCATTATAGAGTAAATCTTGTAAGTTTGCCAGTAAGTGTATTAGTAAACTTAATACCAATTTCTGATTTTCTTTTTCTTGGAAATAAAACTACAATAAGTTGTGTTTTTTTTTTTTTTTTTTTTTTTTCTCCCCCATCAAAAAGCTCACTGAGATAATCATTGCATGTTATTACATCAACCAGTGTAAATGACAGGTTAAACACAGAAGGCCATAGTTTTCAGTTGACTAGTTTCAGTTGAAAATTACATAGATTTTCACACTTGGAGCAGAAAGTTTCCCCTGATGTTCCCTGTTATGGCTTTGTATTTTGATGGGAATATACTGTTCAGTCTTTGCCAGTATTTGTAAAAGGGTCTTCAACTCTTCTATGATTGCTTTCTGTCTTAAAACAATGGAATGCCTCCTACTGTCTCCATTCTCTTTACTGTCTTCTAACAAAAGCAGAAAGTGAAACTATTAAGAAACAGCAGTCTCATAAGCATATGGAA